ACTCACTACTCGACAGCAATTCATATGCATTATATTTATAAATGGACACACCCACACCCTGCAGACAATACCTGGTCCGACATTGAACAGACAATCTGTGGAAATATATCATTATCTGACCTTCCATTTCACAGCAGCTCAATTAAACGACACCCATGCTTCACATTCTATACAATATCATCAGCTCTGACAGCCTGGTGGAAATTTTATAAAATCACTAACACCACTCCCACACCATCCATCTTCACCCCCATCTGGAACAACCTAGACCTCCTACAGTTCAAGAAACCATTACATTTTCGTACATGGGCAGAGGCAGGCATCACACACCTACAACACATTTTTCATGACAACACACTGGTTTCATTCTCGCACCTGGTCCAGAAGTTTGGCATCAGGGACACACAATATCTCTCGAGTACCATCAATTAAAATCAATCATCCAAAAATCATATGACACAAAAAATATAGATCTCACTCTCCCCCCACCAATTACAAGATTACTAAATATCAAGACCCCAAAAAAAATAACTGCCAACATCTACAGAATCATCATCCATTCAAATTATACAATCACCTTACCAACAGAAAAATGGGAAACAGACCTTGGAATTGCCCCTGATGCCAGCTTCTGGACCCAAATATGTAACAACATCTACAACATGTCTGACAACGCAAACCTTCACCTGATACAGTACAAAATATTACACAGAACACATCTCACCGGACAGAAAATGTCAAAATTCAGCTCATGTACAGACAAATGCACCAACTGCACACAAAACTCAACTGACACGCACATACATGCTTTTTGGCTCTGCCCCCCTGTTCTTCAATTCTGGAAAGAAGTGACAGAAACCCTCTCAACCATTATGGACCACTGCATCCCCCACAGCCCTTTACACTGTCTACTCGGCGACACATCCACTCTAACCTTAGACCCAGCAGACCAACAACTTACCCTGATAGCACTAACAATTGCAAAAAAAAACAATACTCCTCAACTGGAAAAAAAAAATCAAAGTCAACACTTCACAGTGGAAAGATCTCCTCCTAGAACACTTATCCTTTGAACAAACATCCACCAATCACAGAATTACTGAAACACCCAGCAACTGGAACAAACTCATACTTTATCTTACAAATTAACTAATTGCATTGTCACTGTTATTATTATTGTTACGATAATTTGAATTGTTATGATTATTATTATTACTTTTATTTTTTATTTTCTATTTTTATTTTAATGTTAATTTAGTTTTCATATTATTATTATATATTATTGTTATAATGATTATTATTGTGGATTTATCTTATTTTTTTCTCTCTTTATTTTTGGTCACTTGTGTTATTATTTTTATTGTTTTTTTATTTTATTATTATTATTATTTTTTTTTTTATTTTTTCGTATAGTTTCTGCTTAACTATTAATATTATAAATTATATAATTAGTATTTACACATACAAGATATATCATATTTGAATATGTAGAATAAGCAATGGGGAACGGTGATGGTGAGGAAGCAACAATAATAAGTAATATTGTTTAATTTAATTAATACACATTGTATGATAAATATATGGACTCCTCCCACAAGCATCCCAGGCACATGCCTTTTTAATGCACAACACCTCACGCAGATATTTTTCTTTTTAATACACCACAATCACAGACAAACTATTGAGGAAAGCTGTCGGAAGAGTGCCAGTAATAATGCTACTGTTAAGGACGCTAGTATGGTCATAATTATGATCTTCATCATCGCCATTGTCGCTATTGCTGTTATAAAAAAAAAAAAAAAAAAAAAAAAAAAAAGAGGTTTTGTATATATATATATATATATTTTAATTGTCTTTGTTTTTTTTTTGTTTTTTGTTTTTTCTATTATAAAAATATAAAGTAAATAATAAGTAACACACAGACACACACACACACACACACACACGCACAAACATGGAAGACCCCCCCCCTTCCCCCCCTTCCCCCCCTTCCCCCCCATGTATGTATGTTCATGTTGTTTTGTTTAAATAAATAAATAAAAAAAAAAAAAAAAAAAAAAAAAATAATAAAAATATATTTTTTTTACATTGCACCTCACTTTTCCAGAAAACCTACAAGTGCTACAAATTAAAATACAAAAGTAAATACCAAAATCTTCAATTATTTTCTCCTGTTTGCAGTTTTCACCTAGAAATACTTGAGATTTCATGTTTGTCAGGAGCAGTAGAAGTATAGAGTGTGGTCAAAAGTGGTACTGCAGCCTCTCCCACTCTCCCTGACTCAAGTTGCCAGATATGCAGACGAATCCAGCTGGGACCATAACAGCTGAATAGACAAGAGTTTTGTCAACAACAAATCTATAACCAACACCTTTTTCACAAAGATAGAAATCCTGGTTTTATTCCTCATAACGAGACCTTTTTTAGTTCTGTGCCACATGGTACTTTACCAGTGAGATTAGCTCCACGCGGTGAGTTTTGGCGCCCGGATCACAGACTTTCTGATTGTTGAAACGGTGGAGGGCGGGACATCGAAATGAAAACAATAACAAGATTTAGGGGCTGTAAAAGTAATTTAGAAATTCAAATATCTCTGAACTATTGTTATCAGTTAAAGAAGTATTGGAAAAGGGCAGGTTTTATTAATGCCTTTTGACAGATCAGGGCCCTTTAATGACAGATTAGGGCCCTTTAATGATGACAGATTAGGGCCCTTTAATGACAGATTAGGGCCCTTTAATGATGACAGAATAGGGCCCTTTAATGATGACAGAATAGGGCCCTTTAATGATGACAGATTAGGGCCCTTTAATGACAGATTAGGGCCCTTTAATGATGACAGATTAGGGGCCTTTAATGATGACAGATTAGGGCCCTTTAATGATGACAGATTAGGGCCCTTTAATGATGACAGATTAGGGCCCTTAATGATGACAGATTAGGGCCCTTTAATGACAGATTAGGGCCCTTTAATGATGACAGATTAGGACCCTTTAATGACAACAGATTAGGACCCTTTAATGATGACAGATTAGGGCCCTTCTATGACGACAGATTAGGGCCCTTTAATGACGACAGATTAGGGCCCTTTAATGACGACAGATGAGGGCCCTTTAATGATTACTGGACATGAAATTCTTACATATTGCTACTTTAACTGTCTTTAAACATTCCTGCGGTGAAAACAGTGGACGGACTACACTCATGTTCTTCGTCCTTTGTCTTAACCTTGATCGATTGAACCATAAAAAGAACTTGGGACGTGCTCAGTCTTGTGCTCGGTCCACCTTAAGAGAGTTGGTGCAGTGACTGGTGCCGGCTTTGACAGTTGAAGTGGATGAATGAGAGCGGCCTGAGCCACACGCTCCTCTCATCACCTGCAGACTCAGATCAAAGCTCCTTCAGGTCCGTCATAGAATCCAGTGGAACTTCTCTGCACAGGGTTTTTGGCCGTTCTGCTGCTGTCCCTAATAAAAGACTTTCTCGTGGTTACTGCCGACCGGGAAATACTCGCCGTAAACATTAGGAAAGACTGAAGCTGCGAACGCTTTGTGCCTTTGAGACGCTGTGGAAAAGGTTCTAAAAGGCCGACTGTCAATCACATGCGGTTACGACGCGAGGAAAGGTAAAAAGGGTGGATTTAAAAATAAAAAATATGTTCAAATTTGACCTATTTTACATTTTTGTTCCCAAAGTAAATCTCACTGCAATGAAAGATGCATAACACAACTGTTTCATATGTATAATAGATCCGATGCAAATGGTTCGGTGGAGAGGGGGGGGGGGTGGTTTGGTGGAGAGGGAGGGGAGGGGAGGGGGGAGTGGTTTGGTGGAGAGGGGGGAGTGGTTTGGTGGAGAGGGAGGGGAGGGGAGGGGCGAGTGGTTTGGTGGAGAGGGGGAGGGGTTTGGTGGAGAGGGAGGGGAGGGGGGAGTGGTTTGGTGGAGAGGGGGGGGAGGGGGGAGTGGTTTGGTGGAGAGGGGGAGGGGTTGGGTGGGAGGGAGGGGAGGGGGGAGTGGTTTGGTGGGGAGGGGGGGGAGGGGGGAGTGGTTTGGTGGAGAGGGAGGGGAGGGGGGAGGGGTTTGGTGGAGAGGGAGGGGAGGGGGGAGTGGTTTGGTGGAGAGGGGGGGGAGGGGTTTGGTGGAGAGGGAAGAGTGGTTTGGGGGAGAGGGCAGGGGGGAGTGGGGGCACATACTGAGGTGCTGTTGTGGTCACCCATCGGGGCAGAGCGGGGCACATTCTGAGGGAGAGATCGGCCACGCCACTCCCTCGTTCATCACATTAACGGAGACACTAAAAGAGTTGGTGTTAAAGGGTTATGAGACGTATCATCCACAGATCTGTCTCTGAGCATGAACCATTCTCAAAGTCACCGTTACACCGATTGCGCTGTTGATTGCTTCATTTGAATGATTAAAACTGGGGCGAATCCCTGGCTCTCGTCCCGACCAATCAGAGGTTTAGTTTTACAGCACCAAGAGCAACAATAGAATACAATGTGCAAATGCTGAACACCTTCTGAAGACAACGTTAACTCATTCAACTATTTAGAATGCTGTTGATTGACACACATTGCTATTTTCTTTGTCAAAAATTAAAGATGCATCATGCTCCTTATTTAAGCCAGTTGTTTGGGAGGGTGTTAGCGTGCTGCTGTGTTTGTGTGAGGAAGAACTGCTGTGGCCTTTTCATCCAGACTGAAATGATTAACAGGGTCCTCGGGCTGCATCTCAGAGCGGTCTCTGTACTCCAGCCTCTGTTCTGCCAAGCCTCCGCCTGGCAGCCTCCTCTGCCCCAGGCGCATTAGGATGCAAAGCGCTCCACGTACAGGGAGATGGGGAGACTAACAAAAGCGCTTTAGTGTTGCAAAAACAAGCCCATCGGTGCGTGCCTGTGAAAAGATCTGTAGGTCTGCGCTCACTCTTCACCTCCAGAGACACATCCCTCTGTCCTCATCCTCTCTTCTTGTCTCCTCCTCTTCCCTTGTCCTCCCTTGTGGCAGGTCCAAACTGCTTTGCTGGAACGACCATCATCCCAGCAGGGATTGAAGTGAAGGTGGACGACTGCACCATCTGCCGCTGCCACAACGGGGACTGGTGGAAACCGGCGCAGTGCTTGAGACGCGAGTGCCTCAATGGTCAGGCTCTGTCCTAGAGACTCCCCAGGAGTGACCCGCTCAGGCAAGGCCCTGCCAACACTGCACCATTTTGTACGATTGACAGGGCAGGAGCACAATTCAACAGGTTTCAGAAGGACGCCGTCACACGCCACGGGAAAGGACTGGTCTCGTGGCTCTTTGAATCCTATATATTTTCTGAAACTTGACATTGCTCGACTTGCTGCTCTCACAATTTCTATTCTCAGACTGTCTCTGTGTTAAAAGCTCATGTGTTTGTCTTCTGGCCGTGGCAGCAGCGCTCACACAGGTGTTGTACGTGCTGCAGCAGGAAAACTAATGGTAAGCACACTGAGCAGCGCTTTTGTTCATGTTATTCTACTGCTGTCAGCACTCTGAGTGCTTCTCACCACTTCACTCCAAGAGCTTGTTTACAAGACCACTCATGTTTGTTACTTTTGTATCACTATGGCAGGAATTCACCGTAACACAACTGTCTTTTGTATACTATCTCTGTTGCTTTGTCTAACATACTGAGGATTGTGATGCACAGATGGAAAAGAGGGTTATTAGCGTTTCAAACTCAACCTTAAGAAAGGCTGGAAACACACAAGGCATAACTATGTGTATTATTAATACTATACAGTAGTATTTGCTTTTACACACAGCAGAAACTGTGTTTGATCATTTCTCTGACTCAGAAACCCACATCTTTGAAAATATTCAGAGCTAAAGATGCTTGAACTTGTGTTATCAAACTAAATCAGCAAAGCAAGAGCAGCTTGCCTCAATTTACTTTAATCAGGCCGTATTTGGAGATAAATCATCCAGCTGTGCACTTGTTGATACTGTTGCTGGCATGCGGCAAACTACAAACACTAGAAAAAAGGTACTGGCAGTGCACATATTTCAAAATGTGCTTTAGTTATAAGAAAACTCACAGTTATTGCCCATGAGTGAACAGTTGTTGTGATCTGCAGACGCCTGAGACAATCCCTCTGCAGGAGACCGACACATTCAGGATTCACTTGGACTTCTTCATACGGCAGCATCGAATCACGCCAACAAATAACATTCACTAGACTCCAATAATTCCCACTCACTGCCTCCAAGGACAGACCTGTGCGAACGATTTAACGGAAAAACAGTATAGCCTTAAATTAAGTAAGTATTTGATAAACCGTATAAGGCAGGCCGCACTAATTAACAATAAGGCTGTAGTTTGTTCTGTTATCTGAACGTTTTAGTCCCACAACACTATAACAGAAAATATTTGCAAAACATTTCCACGTTTTGACTGTATCATAAAAGCACATTGCAGTGTCATAACGCAGGAATACTTATTAACTTATTCATGTAACTTATTTGTATAGCGCCTTTCCTACACAAGGCAACACAAAGCGCCTCACAACCCGCATCCTATCAAGTAAAATATCAAACATATACTATAAATCTACATATACATTTAAAAAATAACAAGTAATTAAAAACATTATAATCACACATGGGATTAAAGAGTAAATATAAAATCTTTCAGTTATTACATTGTGCGGTCTTCATTCTTGGGTTTCATTAAACTGGCCTGTAGGGGGCGCATGAGCAGAGATGGGACAGTGTTGCTCCCATTGAAAACCATGTAAAGTCTGTTTTGGAGTCAGAGGCTCTCCTCCTGTGCGGTGTACGGTTGTTGGAACAGTCTAAATCGGGGACACTCATATCTAAAGGAGTACTCCAAATTTTTTCTGAAAAGAGTCTTGATTTCGAGCATTTTTGGAAAGAAAAACAGGAGAAATTGCTGCGTTTCATTGGGGTGGCCTGCAGGGGGCGCTTATCTGGTAAAGCCGATCCACCTCGCCCGCCTCATTCCAGTGATAGTTTCAAAGTGTCCTCCTTTATATGAGACCACAGTTGGAACATGAACAAACTCTGGTCTTTCTCTCTATTTGTGCGGTTGCTACAAACATACACCGCACAAAAAGATGGCGTTTTGACAGAGCTTCTTCTTCTACTATATCTCCGTGTATAAACCCAGCAGACTGCACCGCCAGGATACGTCACATCCTGTCATACGTTTGTGAGTCGTGCCACTGCCCTGACGTCAAATGAAACCCAAGAATTGTATAAGACCATTTTAATTTTCTTTGCAAATTAAGACCGAACCCATGTCCTCCATTATGACATGGTTACATTTGTGGTGGTTTGATTTTTAGGTTTAGCAAATCAGCTTTAAGACAACAGAGAAAATGCTAATAAAAATGGCTCATAATATCCAAGAAAACCACTCGACTGAAAAACATTCTTGAACCTTATTATGGTTTTTTCGTTCCTGACTTGGCACTATTCCTCTGTAATGTACGATAAATCCCAAATGAAGGCCTTTGTTTTC